AATTAAAAATAAATAAATAAATTATTAATATCTTTTATAAATGTGATATATAAAAAAATAAGTTATTTTGGATTGATGTCTTCAATTTTTGTTAGTTCAATTTTTAATTTGTGGCATTTTAGAATTATTTTTTTAAAATATTATTTAATATGTTTATTTATAATTTAATTTCATTTTAACTTCAGAGATTTGATCAACTAAGAAATAAGTATCATTTTATAAATCAAGTTTAAGGTTTAAGTTTTAAAATCAACATTAAAAAATTAATTTTTTTGAATATACCAAACTAATATTAAGGGTGTGTCACTAAAATTATCCAAAAAACCAAACGATTAGTCTCTAGGAAAATAATTATTTCCACACTATTTTTTGTTATAACTACACACAAATTATAGGTATGTCTAGTTTGACTATCAAAAGCTATTGATAATTTTAGCTGTTAATTGATAGTTTATAAAACAATTGAAATCTATTATTTAATAGTTTGAAATCAACATATATACTAATATTTTAAAACATTTTAATAAGTTATAAATGGATAAAATAAACTAGATTAAATAAATTTTATATGTATGTGTGGCCTGAAAAAAATTTGTCTAAGTTATAACCTAGCATGGTTATGGCTACCTGTAAAAATATTAAATCATTAAAATTATAAAAAATTTAAAAAAAAATGCTATTAGGAAACAAAATAAAATAAATAAATAAAACTCAAATATTTTCCTAAGATTTTTCCCCAAAAAAACCGGTTGCACCCTGATATTTTGCGGGGAAAATAGCAGCCACAGTTTACCACCACAGCCTACCTCGCCTGCACTGCACACATGATCAACCCCTAGAAGATCCATTGCTGTAGAGATCTGATGGCCAGTACAAGGAAACTTTGCCCTCTGCCCCATTGTTTCCTCCACTTCCCAAGCATGGAAACCAAAAAAGCTTTCTGTCATCAACATCAACGTCGCTAAACTTTGACCATAACCATCCACCATCGGCAGCACCCAATGGAACTCGGGCACCAAGCCAAGACCATCAACGTTCACCTCCTTCAAATCCTCCTCTGAAAACAATCCCTTATCACCTCCCACCAAGGAGAGAAAAACCATAGCCTCCCACCCATGAGAGAAAAATCGCTGGAACCAAATCAAAGAAAGAAAAATCGCCGCCAGGCTTCTTTTAATATGGTTTTGAGTTTTGATTTTAATTTGATTTTTTAAAAATATTTTTAGTAACCATTATTGAATTTAGAAATCATAATTTATTATAAAAATTAGATTCTATTAAATTTAATCTAAAT